TATATATATATATATATATATATATATATAATCAAATAAAAGAATTTTTTCAATATATAATCATATACATATACATACACATATAAATAAATTTATACATATATATACATATACATAAATACATAAACAAAAATATAAAAATAGACATATAGTTCTATACCTAAGATAACTAAAAGTAGGAAGGAGGTACATAGTATAAAAGACAAATTCCTGGCCTTAGAAACCAGGATTGCAGGTTTAAACAAGTTTTGCGGCGCCAATCTTCACCTGTAATTTGTCATACTATGTACCAAGAGGAAAAGGAAAGAGTTATATATGTGTAGAATTTAAATATTAAATCATTAAACTAAAGAACATATGAACATAAACATAACCTACTAAAACGTATTTATAACGATGGCCAAGAGTGCAGTATTGTGTCCCCGCCAAATAGGGAGGGCAGAACCGCATAAAGTTAATTGCGATACGATATACGATAATAAGAAATATATATATATATATATATATATATATATATATATATATATATATATATATATATACTTTTAAAAAATCATAAAAATAAAAATAAAAATCATAAAATTAGCGTAAAATATAAAGAAACTCAGAAAAATATATATATTAAAAAGATTTTTTAAAAAGCATGTGGCGCCATCTATATAATAATTGTAGGATAAATTAGATATTGTCTAAATTTAAAAAAACATTACAAAACATAATAACAGTAAATAACTACATTAATACAAATTGTATCATAAAAAACTATTATAAATATAATTACAAAGAAAATTAGCAGGGTATCCATGTTCAATACAGTGATTAAAATTTTTTTTAAGATTTAAAAAAATATTAGCTTTATCGCTAACTAATACTTTATTGCGATAAATATAAATAAAAATAATATTTCTATATATAGATATTGATAAATAAGAATTCCAGTAAGGCACTTTGATGATATTACAATTAAAGGCATCTCTTTTATCATAAATATTAGAATGTAGTTTCAAATCCTTAATATACGGTGATATATCTAGATAATTTGTTTTGATTGGATTATTATTAATTTTAACTAAGTTTAAGTAGGACGGATAAAAATTAATAATAGGATTTAAATTATCATTTTTACCAAAAATAATTAAATCATCAATATATCTAAAAATGTAGTAGTCATTATTAATAACATAACTATATTCATAAAATGATATAATCAAAATAAATAAATATATATATATACATATATATATATATACACTGTAGTGCAAAAATTAAGGACGAAACGGTTTTTTCAATATAACTTTGTACAAAAGCTTTCCAAATCAACACATTTAATACCGTAAGATCCCCAATACGTAAGGACATGTGTAATGTAAGCAACACTTACTAAAAGAGAAATCAGAGGGATAAAAAGAAGCTTGATTGGAAAAGTAGCATGGAACGCAATGCGACTGAAGGCCGAAACGTTCCTGTGATGGGTGTCCAGCAAGAAACATCCGGTCTTTAGTAGGGTATATGATCTCCCCTGACTGCTAGGCAGGTTTCACAGCGTCTGCCCATGCTGAGAATGAGGGTGTCAATGAGTTGTTGAGGCATTGCTGCCCATTCGTCTTGCAGCGCCAATCGAAGCTCCCAAATCGTTACTGGTGGTAAGGTACAAGCTGCCAAGCGTCTGCCTAGAAAATCCCATACATGCTCGATGGGATTGAGATCCGGAGATCGTGTCGGCCAATCCATACGTTCAATATCCTCACTCTCTAAGAGCTGTTCGGCAGCTACTGTGCGATGACATGGTGCATTGTCGTCCATGAAAAAGAACTGCAGACCCATAGCGCCTCTAAAAAGACGCACATATGGAAGAAAAATCTCGTTACAATAACGGGTCCCGTTGACTGAACCTGCGTCGAAGATGTGAAGGTCTGTACGACTACCAAGCATGTAGCCTCCCCAAACGAGAACACCTCGACCTCCATACCTGTCCCTTTCAATGATGTTCGAGGGATGATTGCGGCTTCCCTGCTCTCTCCAGATGAGTATGCGATGAGAATCGCTACTCAAACTGATTCTGTTCTCATCTGTAAAGAGTACTCGTCCCCATTCATTGTCTCACCAATTCCGGTGTTCCCGGAACCACAGAGAACGCCCTCTCCAATGGGCCGGCGTTAAAGGTACACACCGTACAGGGCGTCGTGCAAACAGACCACCACCGTGCAGTCTTCTGGCCACGGTAAAACGCGATATCTGTCGTCCAGTCGCCTGTGTCGGGTGTCTAGCGATTTCTCCCACTGTCTGCCGCCTGTTTCTTCTGGCCTGTAAGACAATGTACCGGTCATCTGCGGGTGTGGTTCCTCGTGGACGACCACTACTGAACCCCCGGATAGCTGTTCCTGTAGTTTGAAATTGTCTCCAAAGTCGTGAAACGATGCTGTGAGCAATTCCGAACTCTGCAGCCACACTTGTCACACTGTGGCCTTCCTCCAACTTCCCAATGATTCGATCTCGATTAAAAGCATCCAGATGTCGTCGAACAGATTGAGTATTCGCCATTTCTCGTTGAGGCAGCAACTCGGTGTGATTTTAACTGCTATACGGCGTGCAATCTCTTTGCCAGAAATACTGATCTTACACCGACAACATGCTTTATACTATTCAGACACTCCCCCATTACGTCTACCTGCATATCTGCGCATGTGCTACCGTACATCACCTTACTTAATCTCCTGATTGGTCTTTCTGTCCGCTCTGCCTCCTCGTTCAGCTGATATGCTAATTTTTCGACTTCGTCCTTACTTTTTGCACACCAGTGTATATATATATATATATATATATATGTGTATAAATAGAGAAGAGTGTGAATTAATAGTAGGAATTGAAAAAGATATACTTGTGTATTGTTCCGCCGACCCATTTCTCCCTATCGGAAAATCGTCGCCAGTTGAAAATATTCTAAAAACATCGCCATTATTGTTGCATGAATATTGCAGTACTGGTTCTCCACCTTTGTCTTCATATCACGCCATTTGGCGACGTCCTTTTGATTTGAGGAATTTAGTCGATGGTGTAATACTGAGTACCAAAAAATGGTTGGTGAGAGTATAACTGCTTGAAAGTAATCAATAGCACCACTCCCAGTCAATTGACATTAATAGACTTGACACTATTAGAGAAACATTTTCATTCAAATAAGGATCATAAGATGTTTCAGTAATGATAGTGATTATGATTAATGATTATCGTTCGACTTTTAAAATCTTTCAAGATATTAATGATAATCATTAAGCTCTTTAACAGATGCTTACTTTTAATCCTTTACTCTAAATGAACATCGCAATTATGCTAATCATCCTCCCTCAATCTTCATGGAGGAAAAATGTTTCTGCCATATCGATTCCCACGAATATAATCAATTCCTTGATTCATGTATTCTATAAATTATCCCATATTTACTCAATCAGAATCTTTCGCCTGGAATTCTTAAGGGCTTCTACATATAAAGCACATAATTAGTTTCAAAATCCTGCCCTGGTGCATTATTAAAATTAAAAGTTTTTTACTCAGGTGGCATCAGTTGCAATTATGACTCGTAATTACAAATTCCATCCCCAGTATCGTATGACAGAGGTTTTTAATATAGGTTCCCTTGAACTTTGACGAGTAATCTGTAAGTGATCCTTATTTGTTTAATCAAAACGCCAAAAGTGTAAAAATATTTTAATTTTCATAAAAGATTGACTTCTTAAATGCAGTTTACTTGTAAAAATAAATATAAAAAATTATTTTATGCATAAAAAAAATCTTAAATTTCGTAAACGTCACGTGCTTTAAGCATGAATGGATAAATTAGAAGGCTTGAAAATGAAGTAAAATGAATAACTTATCGACCTTTCAGCATTCCTTTAAAACTAAATTTAAGCAAGAACAGCTCCTAAATTTTAGGTTGGAATTTTGCATAATGCGTAGGAATTTATCCCGCAGTTATAAGCAATTTAATACTTTTCTGCACAATGTATTTAAATTAAATATATTTCTCAACGTATCTGGCAACAAAAACAAAATATTAAGTCAAAATAACGCAGAATATGAAATAAGATTCAAATAATAATGGACAAATATTTTTTAATAATATTTTCAAAACCTTCTTCTTTCAGAAAAATACTACTGTAAAAATAATATTTTGCCTATATATAGCCAAGACCTCTTTATAAAGCTTGAACTAGTTTTTAAAATTTAGATGTGGATTTATTAATTTTTAAATATAAGAGAGTGGAGAAATTTTAACAAAAAATACCAGTTATTACTCTGTTTGTGATACTAAAACGAAAAATAATGTGTGGAGTTTTCAAAAATTGTAACTTGAACTCTGCAGGGAAGCTGTAAATAAGCAAAATATTAAAAGCTATAAAAACAATTTCGACAAAAAAAAAAATGTTTTGAAGAAATATAATATTTTTGTTCATTTTTTCAAAAAAACTTTACATTTAAATCGTTTTTTATTTTAATAATATTCTTAAAATAATTTTTTACATATATTCTAATTCAAATGATACTCAATATCAAAATTGTATTCATTTATACTCTTTTGTTAAACTATGATTCTGAACGCAATCAATCACCTTATTTCCAGATAAGACTTTTCCTGCTTATTTTAACATTTTGTGTTTAACCGTGAAAAAAGGGGTATAAAAAAAGCCTAAAAGCGCAAAAAAACAAGTAATATAAAAAAATTAAGTCAATTCCTACTTAGGTCAAGAAAGAAAAATTTTATTTTAGTTACTTTTTATTAAACAGTTACAGTTAATATAAATATGTATATACATATGACAGAATCACAATATTAAGTGACGAAATAGAAAGCGATTTTCCTTGTAATTTTCCATTTTCTTTTCTATATATAGTGTTGGACTATTTTTTGTTTGTGTTTGTTACTCTATTTATTCATTCATTAAATTTAATTATTGTAACAAAATAGTATAGTAAAAAAGAAATAGTAATATCAGAAATTAGGCTATCCCAGGTGGGATTCGAGCCCACGACCTTAGAATTATCAGCCCAATGCGCTATCCAATGCGCTACAGGGACACAACGAACGATTTTCCTTTCTATATAGGCTGTTGGGCTGTTATTTTTGTTTGTTACTATTCATTCATTTCCTTAATTAATTAATGAATTAATATTTGAAAAACTGAATTAACATCAAGTGCCATCCACTACAAGATTAATAAAAGGTATTTGAACTTGAATGGATGAATAAAAGTATTTTATTAACGATTGAAAATTTTATCAAGAAATTTTTTAAAAAAATATATGTAGGGAGAATGGGATCTAATAGTTGAAATTGAAAAATCAATAAAGGATTTTCCAAAAGTGTAATTTTCAGGAGGCAGAAAACCGACAGTTTCATATCATATAATTATGTGGCACGTTAAAAATCCTTTAAATGCCGACTTGGCTTGAGTGCTCGCGGCAAAATTAAATTCCTAAAACTACCTCGCATCGTCAGAACTCAGGTGTCTCCCTCTGGGGAGGAAACTGAGCATCAGAATTATATTAAGGTGATTGGTATCCCATCTGTATAATACCTCACTAAAAAACAGAGATACCATCTCCCAGGAATTGTACTAGGTATGGAATGGTAGTATAGAAATCCTCAGCCCCACTGGAAATTTTAAAAAAAATTATGTAAATTTTACAAATGGAAAAGCAAACACAAGTCTGACGTCAGTTTTGTATTCAGTGAAAAACACGTTACAGACATGAATGTAGCCCATTGATAATTTAGTCTAAATTTGAAGAGGGAAGTAAAATCCATACAACTAACATTAAGTTCACGAATTCAAAGCAGTTGTAGACGGAAGCCTTAACAAGCATTTTGAATAAAAATAATTTTGTTTTAAGTTTAAACCAAAGTTTTATAGGTAAATCACTGTAGTAATTCATTAGTTGACACTTCCCAAATAAAACGAAAGATCCATCCCACTATTATGTGTAAATTCCCTATTTGCGGAAGAAAAGGGAGAAAATCCAATGTTCTTTTCCCCTCACTTTCACTAAGATCGAATCGCGAAGACAAATATAGAAAAGGCAGAGAAAGAGAAGTTAAATTAGGGTATCTTTTCCATCTTTGTTCGAATGGTGTTCGCAGACATTCCACTCCTCCAAGGAACAATGGAATGTTCTCGGAAGAATCCTCTTGGTCACGATTTGTCCCTTGGGCACTCCGGGAAAGAAAGAATAGTTACGGTTACTATTCCTCGCACGAGTGTTCCTTTTGGACTGTGAGGTTTGATTGGTGTGTTCGCGAAAGTTAAAAGCTAATCGAGATCAAGCACTTTCTATTTGATTATTTGCGCTTGTAGATTCTTCGAGGAAAGTTTGGTTTTGGCAGAGAGAAAGGTCAAAAGGTACATTGAAGACGTGTAAGACAAACATTAATGCGTGGGTTAAATTTTGATTAATTGATTGTTACTGCAGATTCAACTTTGTTGTGAAATGGAAAAGTAGTTTTATAATTAATATGATATGATTTGAAGTAATATTTTGAGGTATATATGAAATAAGCCCCAGTTCGCAGATATTGCATGCTGAAAATAAATAAATCACGTAGAATGATAAACAAATGATAACAATAAAGATGTCGCCCATACGGTAAAGTGATTAGCGACGCTGAATGCTGTGCCGTAAAAGGCTTGAGTTCAAATCTCGGAGAAGTCAGGAATGTTTGTGAATGTATAGTGCCTTTGCGGCAAATAGCTGTCGAGCTGTAAGTCTCGTGAGATTGATGGAAGGGGAAGAGAGGCTCAAGACCCCTGACCCCTCAGAGTTTTCTTCCTCTAAATTGGGGTGAAATCGAGCTAAATCGTACTGTCACCTGTTTGATGCTCAAGGTTATGGTCGAAGACAGGCGTACATCTAGATGCCTAACTTGTCTCAGGCTCTGGCGATTTCCTTCCTTCCCTTCGGGAAGGACAAGACAACAACAATAAAAAAATAATAGTTCAAGTTCTCGCGCCACTGAAGACTCGCCACATATAAGGGGATAATATGAGTTAAATTTGTCAAGATTCAAAGTTCTCACGTTAGCTTGGTGGGAAAATGTGGAGAGTAGGGATCAGTTCATGTATCATCTACATTACTTGATAGTTATTCAAAAGTAGAATATATGTATGTAAATTAACACAAACATGGGGAAGGGACTCTCGTCTGAGGAATTGTATTATGTATGTAGCGTAGTGGCCAGTGTTGTTGTATTTGTTTCGAATAAGTTGAGAACTTCAGATTGCATTTTACTCTTCTTTATTTTCACATGAAACATCAAAGCGTTACGACTTCACAAAAGCATACTTGCACACAAAGACATAAAGCTACCGTTATTTACACATATTCAAGACGAACAAAAAGACAAAGAGCGCGATCACAAACGCGCTGCAGCCGGCTGGCTACATGATTGCAGAGAAGAAAGTAAGGGGGCTTTCCAGATCTCTGTATTTAGAGTCGGTGGTGATAAACACTGTGATTGTTTAAAATGGGTGGGACAGGGATTTCGGATACTAGTTGATTACGATTAAGATTAAAGCGTTAGTTTTGAATCAAAGAACTAAAGCTTGTTTAATAATTATCAAAAAGAGTTAATTGAATGGATGCTAGATGGAATTGTTACATATATTTAATTTGAAATTTTGTTAAGTGAATATTTATAAAGTAGAAATGAAGTGCCTCCACGCACTGTGACGTTTCCTGTACGAGCCGGCCTAAGTTCTAAAGCCCCACCTCCACCTTCATACGACTCAAGGTTCAGTTCATGAAAAGACTGTGAGTCAGGCTCATCGCTAGCACATTCGGGTGGATTCTACTGGCTCTGCCACTAGCACATTCAGGTGGATTCTACTGGCTCTGCCACTAGCACATCTGGGTGGATTACACTGATGCTCTGTCGAAAGCACATTCGAGTTAATTTCGCTGAGGCTCTCCCGATGGCACATCCACTGTCACGTGGTGGTTTCTTTTAACACATGTGTATAAAATTAGAGTAAATTAATACATTAAAATTTCTAAACTAAGGCATAAAATGAAAAAAAAATCAAAGGTATCGTTCTCCTAACTAGACCATGGCTCAAAATTAAGAGATCCGTCTGCGCTAGTCCTCCTGTGGCTTCGAAGTACATGTTAATATTACGATCAATTAGTCAATCTAATTGTAGAACTATTTATTTTCCAAAATTCCATTTTACAAATCAGTTACAAAAAAAAGTTACAGTAGATCAGTAGTATTCAAACTTTGTAGATTTACGGAGAACCCTTGATTCCAGTATACATCAACTTGAACACACAGTACAAACAGGACAAGTACAGTATTCAAGAAAGTATACATCTTAAAATATTTAAAATAAATAAATTTGATATATAAAGTACAGACAATTATAAAACTTACTGCATTTTTTTAAAAAAATTATAACCTGATGCAAACTAATGTATATTACTCATTAATTACCGATCCAGGTGTCACATATCATTACATTATATTTAATAACTAGGATATACATTTGGAAAATTTTTACAAAGCTATCAAAATCTAAGTCAATTAAGCTATCTGCAGTTGCATTTCATATGCTGCTCGAATTTGCTTCCCTATTTTGTTTCTGTTGTTACATACGTTGAAAAATATTCTTAACTTAAATACACTGTACAAAATGGCATTAAAATGTTTATAACAGTGTAAGAAAAAATCACCGTAAACTACAAATTTCTGACCTAAAATTCAGGAGTTATTTCTGTTTAAATTCAGACGTTAACGTCCAATTAGTTGATAGGTCGATAAACTGTTCCTTCTTCATTGGCAAGCCTTCTGGTTTATCCATTTATGTTTGAAGCACATGACTTTTACAAAATTTAAGATTTATTTTATCCATAAAATATTTGTTTTTACAATCTAACTGCCTTTAAGAATAAAATCTTTTATAAAATTTAAATTGTTTGCTAAAACGTTGGTCCTCTGAACAAGCAAATTATGATCATTTGCGGAACCCTTGTCAAAGTTCCAGGGGACCCAGGGTGAAAACCTCGGTTTTTTGGGTATACGACCTTTGGAAAGTAGAAACATGAAATTTTTTCGAAACCATGCAATTATTTGATACATATCAATTACTGATCATCAATATATCAATATTTCCCTTATTGCTTTTTCCAAAAATTGCCGCATTGTTAGCTACCAATATCATTGTGAAATGTATAGCTAGCTGTCTCGTGAGGATTTCTTCTTAAACTAACACACATGGGGTAATTTTCCTTCATATTCCACTTACAGTTTAACTACAACCTCCTGACCGACTAAGCGCAATATGTAGATTAAGTTCTAAAATACAACAGAGAAAGGGAGAAGTGTGGAAGTAAATACGCTCACTGGCCAATTAATCAGAAACCAAAGTTCAATATTTTATTAAACCACTGGCTATGCACCGTCTGAGGGCTTGTAGATTAGGTGTAAGAGGAGAGTGCTGTAGGATAATTATCCCCCCCTATGTTCCACACATTTTCTACATAATTAACACCCGGACTATGCGGTGGCCAGGAAAGGTCTTAGAAGTCAGACTGATGTTCAGAGTACCGATTTTGAACACTTCTGGTACGATACATAGTTGCATTATCATCCATAAAGTATTCTCTGACCATCAGAGTAAATATACATCGTTTCCGGGTGCATTCGATCCGCCAGAATACTAGGTATTCCATGATTGTTGTTTTTTTAATCTCGAGAAACACCAGGGAACTACTTCCATGCCAGCAGAACATGTCCCACATCGTGATACTCCCACCAGATCCTTGCACAGTGCCAAGTAAGGCAAAAGGAATTCATAGCTTTGAAGGGTTCTCGCCAAATTCAATGTCTTCCATCAGTGCAAAACAAGGTGTAGCCTGATTCTTCTGACCACGTTACCTGTTTCCAATCATCAGATGTTCAGTGCCTTCTTTCCGACACCACGAGTTTTTGTATTTCGTTCAGAAATGAGTGATTTTCTAACAGGCACCCGACTATGCATTTCTATCCTCTACAATTCTATGTGCATGGTTCGAGCTGAAATCTA